TGCTGCTGCTGCTGCTGCTGCTGCTGCTGCTGCTGCTGCTGCTGTTTATCATGCTGCAGCAGGGGTAGAGGCAGCTGCAGGTTGTCAGCATAGAAATCCATCTGCTGCTTCTCGTGCTGCTGCAGCAGCAGCTCCTGCGGCTGCAGCAGCAGCTCTTTCTCCTGCAGCAACACCTGCTGCTGCTGCTGCTGCTGCTGCTGCTGCTGCAGCAACTCTGCTGCTGCATCTGTATCTATGGGGACCGAGCCGGGGGGGCAGCTGAGCTGCATGGCGTCTAAAGACACAGACAGCAGCTCACACCTCATTTGTTTTTTTTTTTCTTTTTTTTCTTTTTTTTCTTTTTCTTTTTCTTTTTGTATTTGTAGTTCTTCTTCTTTGTTTTTATTTATTTTTGTTTTATATATTTCAACAAAAGGAGAGCTCGCTGCATCCATCTTATCCTGCAATCGTCGAGGTTTGCTGCTGCTGCTGCTGCTGCTGCTGCTGCTGCTGTTGCTGCTGCTGTTTTTGTTGTTGCTGCTTCTGTTTTTGTTGTTGCTGCTGCTGTTTTTGTTGTTGCTGCTGCTGTTTTTGTTGCTGCTGTTGCTGCTGTTGTCATTCGTCTTGTTGCTGCTGCTATCTTTCCTGCTGCTGTTTTTGCTGCTGCTGCTGCTGCTGCTGCTGTTGCTGCTGTTGTTGTCGTTGCTGCTGCTGCTTGGGTTGCTGCTTGTGCTGCTTTCATTGCTGCTCCCATTACTGCTGTTGCTGCTGCTGCTGCTGCTGCTGCTGCTGCTGCTGGTTTGCTGCTGCGGTGTCTTCCAGCTTCTGTGTCTCCATCCGTTTCCTTCTGCTGCAGCTAAAGAGAAGATGCGAGTTGCTGCAGCAGCATCTGTGTCTGCTGCTGCTGCAGCAGCAAACATATCATACACCTGCTGCTGCTGCTGCTGCTGCTGCTGCTGCTGCTCCTGCTGCTCTTGCTCCTGCTGCTGCTGCAGCAGAAGCTGCTGCTGCTGCTTCTCGTGCTGCAGCCAGTTTGCTGCTGCATCAGGGGTCAGGGGGAGAACAGGTAGAGGCTCTTCATATATAATTTCATTTTCTTTTGCTGCTGCTGCTGCTGTTGCTGCTGCTGCTGCTGCTGCATCTGCTGCTTCTGCTTCTGCTGCTGCTGCTGCTGCTGCTGTTTTTTTGTGTTTTGTTTGTTTAAATAAATCTGCGTTTTCCCTTTGCATTATTTTTGTGTTTTTATTTTTGTGTATTTTCTCTTTTGCTGCTGCAGCAGCAGCAGCAGCAGCAGCAGCAGCAGCAGCAAACTCATCATCATCATCATCATCATCAGCAGCAGCAACAGCAGCAGCAGCAGCAGCAGCAGCAGCAGCAGCAGCAGCAGCAGGGGGTTCATCTGTATCTATATATATGGTGGTTTCTTCTCTATTACACTCAAAAAAACTGTTTTCTATGATTTCTTTTGTGCATGCATTTGTGGTGTTTTTGTTTATATTATTAAAATAATTTATTTTATTTATTTTATTTATTTTATTTTTATTTATATCTTCTGCTGAACAAATATATATAGGTTCTTTCTCCTTTATACATTTCTCTCTTTCTTTATCGTAGTACCAGCCAGAGCCACACACAGCTGTAGCCTTCTCTACCTCTATCTTTCTACATACAAACTCCTCCCCGCTGCTGCTGCTGCTGCTGCTGCTGCTGCTGCTGCTGCTGCTGCTGCTGCGGTGGAGATGAAAGCCTTCTCGGCAGCGCAGCTGCGGCGCCCGTTGCTCCCGCTTCACACACAGGCCCTTCTCCAGTGTATAGCCACCTAAATAAATAAATATATAAATATATAAATATATATATATATATATGTATATATATATATATATATATATGTAAATATATAGATATGCAAATATATAAATATATAAATAAATATATAAATATATAAATATATAAATATATAAATAAATATATCAATATATAAATAAATATATAAATATATAAATATGTATATAAATATATATGTAAATAAAATAAAACCATTTCCATAATAATATAAATATAATAATATAAATATAATAATATAAATATAAAAATATAAATATAATAATATAAATATAATAATATAAATATAATAATATACATATAAAAATATAAATATAATAATATAAATATAATAATATAAATAAAATAATATAAAAATAATAATAAAACAAACCCCTAAAAAAAAAAAACAAAACAAAATATCCCCCTAACCAGAAAAAAAAACCAAAAGACAACCCAAACCCCTCAAAAGCTGCGTATACACCTGAACAGGAGACAGTCCCCTCCACCGGCTGTATTTTAATACAAAGGGGGCC